GTCTCTGAGCTGCCGAGGTACAATAGAATAGAGACTTTGGTTTCAGACCTTGGAATGGATTCTAAATGTCTGGAGTGGACAAATTACCTCATCTTCTTGAGGCACCATCTGGTATCTACAAGTAACAAGAATGATTTTGACAGTTGCAAAGATTGACATAATACATGTGATAAAGTAATGTAATGCTTGATTTCCTCTGCCCAGAAACTGACTCAACATATTCTGTAAGGATTCTACTAAGAGGTTTCCTCAGGGCTCTACTGGATGGGTTACCTTTGGGTTTCACTGGATATTAGAAGACTAATTCATTCTGGAATCAGTCCTCTCTCCACACTTCCCTTCAGCATTCTGAACTGAGGTTCTACAACCGTTCCTTGTACCATGGATCCATCACTTTGGACTCAAGCTTCATGGCTTCTTTCATCTCATGGCTCTTCCCATGTCCCATCACTAGTTTCTAAGAGCACAGCATGTGGTCCAAGTGTCATTTTCCCCACCAGCCCATCCTCATTAACTGAAAGGAGCCAGCTTAATGGCCTGTAGTCCTTCCTCAGTGCTTAGCACAAAGCTGGGTGACCTGGAAGCCGTACAGACTATTTTTACAGTTATACTGCTACCTCTGCAAACTCAGTGACCCAAGAGCTGTTTTGTAATTAATTTTAAGACTTATTTACTTATTTGAAAGTCACAGCTGCAAAGAGGGAGACAGAGAGGTCTTCCATCGGCTGGTTCACTCTCCAAATAGCTGCAATGGTCAGAGTTGAGCCAGGCCACAGCCAGGATCCAGGAACCTCCTCTGGGTCTCACACAGGTGGCAGGGGACTCAGCACTCTTTCACTGCTTTTCTCAGGCCTTGAAAAGGAAGCCGGATCTGAAGTGGAATAGCCATGAAATGAATTGGTGCCCATAGGAGAAAGTATGCCACCACACAGGCCCCAAAGGCTATATTATTGATATCAAATGTTTTGGCCATAACAAACTCAAAAAAAAAAAATATCTCAAATTGTTTGCTCTATATTAGGAAAGTGTGACTTTCATTTCAGAAAGAAATTCACACTGTTTAAGCATCCTTTGGATGTGTTCATATCAGCAGATATTTGAGATCCTTCCCTTACATTGAAATAGAGGGCTTAGAGGCCTTTCACAGATAAATTACAAGGCAATGGAGATTTTGATCTAATGTAAACAAACTTGTACAGCAGAATGATGCAAATAAATGGATGGAAACGGACCTTGTACACAAAAATGAAAATACATTGTTTATCTAAAGATAGACCAGATGGTAGACTACAAAAATAGGTAATATCATTAAAAGAGGTCACTGATATTTTTCTCTCTTGGCCCTTTCTGAAAGTCTCATTGCTACGTCTACAATGTTTTTGCCAGATTGTCGACTCTAATGGAGATGAAGCAGTTTGTTCAATTAGATCTTTGGATATTTTTTTAAAGAAGCAACAGTAAAAACATAGGACTTTCAAAATTATATATAAAATGGAAATATTTCTGAAGATCTGATTTTGTAAAATACAAATAATAAAATATGAAATACAATCATTTAAAATAAACTTGAAATACAGCTTCATACACTGTATTTATAAATTATTATATACAGGTCAACAAAATCAATTCCTCAAAGACTGAATAACTGGGATTGCTTAATTCAATTTTTCAAGAAAAAAAATTATTTTTTATTGGAAAGGCGGATATACAGAGAGGAAGATCTTCTGCCCAATGTTTCACTCCCCAAGTGACTGTAACGGTCGGTGCTGTGCCCACCCGAAGCCAGGAGCCTCCTCTGGGTCTCCCACGATGGGGCAGGGTTCCAAAGCCTTGGACCGTCCTGGACTGCTTTCCCAGGCCACAAGCAGGGAGCTGGATGGAAAGCGGAGCTGTCGGGATTAGAACCAGCACTCATATGGAATCTCGGTGTGTTCAAGGCAAGGACCTTAACCACTACGCTATTGTGCCAGGCCCACTTACTTTAATTTTTTTCAGTGGTCGGATATAATGTTCCACAACTATTCACAAACTCATACTTGATTCACGTAAAATACCCAGCAATCAATGCTGTTTTCTGATGTATTAATATCTTAATATTTTAGTACACAAAAATCCCCATATTAACATACAGCTTTTTTAAAAAGCTGAATTTTATAATCCTTAAAGTTTTACGAAATTAATCTTAATTTGAACATTGCAGCATTAGTGACATCTGGTGGAAAATTCCTAAGTTACCATGTAGCATTGTAAAGCTGCTCTTTTGTGCGTAGTAAATTTAACAGAAATTTACATACTAACAAAAAAAGAATCTGATAATAATTTCATTGTTTTTAACTTTTGAGTCTATATTTTAAAATATGCAGGATATTGAATATAAGAAACTTCGGATTATTCTAGTAATAAAAACATTCTCCAAGCTAATGTTTATGTAGTTTAAAAAAAAAAGTTTACAAACAAGCATTGATCCTTTGTGCTGTTTCTGTCACTAAATTCTAAAGAATCTCCCAAATTTCCCCGGATGTTGCCTCAAAGAACTTGCCAGCTGTGTTTCAGAGAATACTTCATTAAAATGGGGAGAAGCATCCAATGAGATGCTGTGGGCAGAGACTACAATGATGAATGAGTCTTAAGTTTCACAAAATCAAATGTTCTCAGGGAGGGAGGCTTTTCAATATTTGTAACCAGAGTCAAGTTTGGTCAAGTTTGGCTGGTGAACTACCAACCCTCAGGTCAAATCCATTTCACTATTTGTTAGTAAAAGTTGTTTAACCATGATTTTCTATTACCAGTGGCTGCTCTCAAGCTATAAAGACTTCTTTCAGTAGGAACAAGGCACAACACACTTGAAAAACCAACTCTTAGTTTTACAAATAAGTGTCCAACTCCTGGTCATTAATGACTTTCATCAGACATTCACATGCCTTTCCCTCCATGTCAGTTGGCAGAATACAGTCTCTGCATAGTCTGTATGCCTGGACACCATCAACAGCAGCCCAGAAATGTATATATAAAACAAATATATCTACACTGAACACAAACTTTTTTCCTTCTCATTATCTCTGATGCAGTATTATGACTTTTAATCTAGAATTTATACTGCATTAGAGACTTCAAATAACCCAGAGACGATATAAAGTATATATGAGTAGGCTAAATGATAAACATACTTTTTAAAAAAGGTTTATTTTTTGATGGAAAGTTGGATATACAGAGGAGAGACAGGGAGGAAGTTTCTCCGCCTGCTGGTTCAGCCCCCAAGTGGCTACAACGGTCGGAACTGAGCCAATCCAAAGCCAGGAGCCAGAAGCCTCTTCAGGGTCTCCCATGCAGGTGCAGGGTCCCAAAGCACTGGATCCTCCTTGACTGCCTTCCCAGGCCAGTAGCAGGAAGCTGGATGGGAACTGGCACCCATATGGGATCGCAGCATGTGCAAAGCACCTGTGCACTTTTGTATACATGGGAGTCTTGAAACCAATTTTTCAAGGATAGGAGGGACAACTAAAATCTCTGAAATCCCACAGGAGTTTAGCTGTCATTAAGAAGTTTTGTGATCATTGGATAGTTGGAAAAATGACTGTGCCAGTTTTAAAGCCAAGCCTTAAGATTCTAGTTAGGGGCTCACACAGGCGGATGTTGTTCCTCTGCTCAAGCATTCCCAGGGAGGCTGAATTCTCTGAGCACACTAGGACAATAATCTCAAAAACCTGGAATGGTGTAGTCCCTTCTGGACTCTCATAACTTGATTGGCACAGCTGGAATAATGATTCACTCCTTTACCTGTGGTAAGCAAGACTGAGTCAGAGTCCAGGCCGGGCATAGAGGCCCGCCACACACTTGAATGTCTGCGTGTCCCAAGTTGCTCTGGCAGTTCAGTAGCCAGATCTTGCTGTTTTCAAAGCAGGAAGAACTGATGCAGAGCTGGTACCTTAAACCCAGATCAACTTCTAGATGTGCATTGCCTACTCTTAGAACCACAATAAATGACAAAAATATCCATATTAGGATTAACTTAAAAAAGGCAAAAATAACTAATTTTCCAGTGTTACCAGTAATGTGTGACAATGTTTCTTCTGGTAATGTGTGGGAAGACTCATTCTTATGCCCATTATTCAGAAAAGGGATATTCCATTTTTGAAGCAACTGCTACTGTATTTTCAAACATACTATTTAAATAGGACCAGGCTCCTTATCTCCATATTTTTACTAAGCTTGCTTTTTTGCTTTCCTTCTCTAATGTAATTCCAAACTCTAGAGATTCTAAGTCTTGTTAGTCCAAAACTAGTAAGTGCTGACTCTACATTTTATCTGATGTTGTTTGAACACACAGACTTTCAAGTCTATCTAATTAAACATCATTTCCTTTTGTGGATAACTACTTTTCCTCAGGAAAAAAAAATTACTTCTGAATGACTCTGGCCTCCTGAACCTCATATTTAAGAGGCTTCAACCTAAAATGGAGTTCCATAATAGCACAGACTATGCCCATCAACAAATACTGGCATCTTGTGGTCCAGCACTGAGGATGGAGACACTGTCTTTTAGTGTTAACAGAACCATTTACAAATGGATCAGAGATGTTCTCATCCAGGTGGGACAAAAGACACAAACTGCCTTATTAAATGAACTTCATGACCTTTTCTCATACATCTTCCCATCTTGTAAGATGTCAGAATTCGGATGCCAGGACTTTCAGCCACCCAGTATTTTTATTTCTGAATGAATGGACAGACTAAGTTACATCCTTTAGAATAAAGATTAGATAAGGCATTTAGAAATTTGCCTTAAATTTTGAAAAAATAGTTGCCAACACGAGTACCTATAATGACAGAATCAGTGAGGGCAAAGGAATAAACACGGTTTCAAGAACCAAATAAAAACTGCCTTAAATCAGCCAGAATGAGGCCCTACAAGACATGATTTGCTGTATTAGCACTGAGTTCATTCCAATAGCCATTAAGTTGTATTAACATTGTACCAATATCAAACTTCTTAACACAAAATCAAAACATACCAATTTAACTTTATTTCACCCGTGTCATTTTAGACTTGATTTCATAAAACATAAAAAAACATTTTAAGAGTTTTGCATCACAGGAAATGAAACAGTAGAGATACTCATTGTTTCATGGGTTCAACTTACATAAATTAAAATAATTAGAAATCTTTTTTGATACAGAACTATACAGTGACATAAATGATAAGAGGATCCAATAAAGCAACATTTTCATTGCTTTGGAACCATTAGTTACTTTCAGGATCTAAACAAAGAATCTGAACATTCAGACTTCTTTTTCTCTATTTTATATAAATGTGTATTTTCCTATCTAGATTCCGAGTCAAGCTACTTGACCCAAATGTCTGATTTATGTAGGTATTTAGCTTCGTAACACAGATTTTTCTATCTGTAATTACTACTTTGAATAGACATTACAATGCTGATGAAATCTGCTGTTTCCTTTTTCATGATGTGCAATTAATGTTAACCCTATGGTAAGACAGACATCCCCAAGTGGGATAGTTATGCACAGCTCAGTAAAGTATAAAACTGCCTTTGTTCCTCTAAAACTTAACCAATGAAATCAAACTTATTAACTACAGTTGACTTCATTTCAAGAAAAACCACATTTGGGAATTACATTATTTTCCTCAACTCATCATCAGTCATTGACAGGAATTTTGTAGGCCACCATGCTGTTTACTTTGTGGATAGTTGTAGTAAATGAACGGAGACGGACTTCTTCAGAATTGCTAATAAACTGTGGTCCAGACTCTTCCCATTTTTCAGGAACAACCAAATCTTTGTCAGTATAAATCAGTAGATCAAATGAACCTAAATTGGAGATAAAATCATTAAAAGATTTTAATTTAACAACTTGGTTCTATTCCAGTGCCCAGAATAATGTATCTATAAAATATAGGAAGTTTTTGGTAAATATTTGAGAAACAGACTAGACTAAAAGGAAAGACATAATTGCAGCTGTCTTATTATATAAAATAACACACAGAAAATAAAAACAAAGCTGGAATTTTATCAATTGTACATGAGTAGGTTGTTTTCCAGAAAGCAACTACATTCCTTGTATATCCTAAAGCTTCTCCTTCCATTTACACTACATGACTCACAACTCGGAAAACGTTGACTATAGGGCTGATTTTTACAGCAGCCCGTTTAAGTCAGCAATATTTATAGTAATACTTACATGAAACTTCCAGTAGCGGCAGAAATGTCACCGTAGCTGTAATCTGTCTGATCACTGAACGGATTTCATCCTGGATAACTTTCTGAGACTTTTCTCTCGGAGCACTATCAGAGATCCAAATCAACTCATTTTAGTTTTTTCACTTGAAAAGATGTTTTCAAAGTGGAAATAACTTAATTCCTACTTACCTATCTTCTTTTGCAGTCTTGTCACATTCGATATCAAATTGCCATCTTTCCAGGACCTCACCACTTTCAATATTTGAGATGACGACCACCAGTTTCTGAACTGAGCATCTGTACAGCCATTCTGTAACACATAGTGTAATTTTTGTAGTCGATTGCATTGCAAAGCCAATTTTCTCCTCAGGTCTCACTTTTACTTCTCTGCATAAAACTGTTACTTTACATCCTCTCTTAGTAAACAGGATGCTACAGATATATGAAGTAAAATGTCATTGGTGTGGTTTCCAAGGAGACAACCCCTACTCCTCTGTACTCCCTCACCAAAAAAAAAAAAAAAAAAAAAACAAAAGCAGGGTTATCAGTAAAACTTCCCCAGCGCATTTATCCTAATGGTTCCAAGTCAAATGACTGAGGGTGAGTAATTTAGCCTTGACCTTCAACTTTGTTCCAATTCAGAGAGGTGGGCTGTCATAATTCATATGTTCTCCATTTGCACCTGAGTAAGAAGGTCTCATCTTGCTATTCTGACAGAAATAACCTACCGGGATAAAAATCCTCAATCAAGGGCAATTTTTGCCATGGAGTACATCTGGCAATACATTCAGATGTTTCTGACTGATGCAGCGGATTTGTTCCATATGATAGGTCCAGGCTGAATGACAGCACTGTAGCACTGTTAAATGTCCTATAATACGCATGCCTCAAAAACAACAAGAAAAGCAACAACCCCCCACCAAACTTAACCCCAAATGTAGTAACACCAGAGTTGGAAAATCTTGTAGCAGAGAGGAGTAGAAGGAGAGGACACCCAATTTTCCTCTGCTCATCAATCTTGACAGTGAACCTGTACAAGTACTGAAAAATTCCATTGTGTAGGTATGAGTGGCAGGGAGATGTGAGGTTACCTACAGGATAACGCAGTTTGAAAGAGAAAACATGTTAAAGTTCAGATGGCCATTAAGAGGCCATTTTAAACACAAAGTTAGTAAAAATACCATGAAAATTATAAACATTGAAGCTACAACTGAAATAAAAAGAAAAACTCTGGGAGAAAAAGAGATTTTTGCGTTTAAAAATCCTCACTCACCAAAGAAAAATATGTCTACTGTAGCAATTTCTGGTAGCATGGAAGACCAAATGGAAAGAACCATCCCACAACAGAAAAATTAGAAATGAGAATCTCAGAGAAAGTAACAGGAGCACAAGCAGTAAGTTTAAGAAAACAGGCAAAACAAAACAAAAACAAGAAGACAGGCAATAAATTTGGACCCATCAGGTAATATAGCAATTTCTTGAGCTAAAAAAAAAATCATTCAGAAAGAAAAGGGTTGGGACTATTTCTAACAAAACAAATGAAAATAGCTGAAAAATAAGAAACCTCTACCAGTTATTCTATTTAGTAATCTTTCCTTTTTTGAAGTTTGGTTCACTTTTATTTCCTTTGATATTAATGTAACAAACTTAGACTCCAGTTACAGAAAACGTACAAGAACATATACTGTACATTTTCTTAAACAGATGACAAACACCCTAATAACCACGTATAACGCTACACTGCGGCACTGCATTCTTGCCAATGCCATTTCAAAGGGAACTGATGTGAATTGTTGAGGACACTTCAGGTCTCCAAAACTAAAATGCCCCTCCCAGTAAAATGCAGCGAGGACGGATGGATTTCGGTCCGTTTTCACACCATCTGCTGCCTGCCCCTTGAGAATCCGCACACTTGAGCAGGTAGTTTTTAATGGACACTTTGATACAGGAAGCTGAAAAATGACCACTTGACATGTTGTAAAAGGCAGATTCTCGACGGTCTGCCACACTGAAATTGCTCCCAGTGACTAAATACCTTTCAGTTGTTCCACCACATTATTCAGGTATTTTATGAGCTCGGGATCCGTAGTTACAAGCAAGGTGAGTCCGTATTTCTGCACTCGCGTGAAGGTTTCAGACGGATAAATGCCACGCTGATACAAAATGCTGTTGATGCCAAATGCTGAAAGCAAAAGCAACGAGTAAGTCATTATCCCGTTGTACCAGCGGCAAAGTGCATTTAGGTGGGAGTATAGTTTCATTACTGACACAGAACTCAAAATGATACCCACACCCTGCATATGTTGTGAAAAACAAAGTAATCAAAGTGTCATCCACAGTTCTGAGTTCAGGCCTGCCCTGTTGCAGTATGTAAAGCTCGCTGCTGGCAAGGCATCTCATTTCAGAGATGGGGTTCAGGTGCCACGGGAAGGCAGTGAAAGAAGAACCAAGTGCTGGAGTCCTTGCTGCAGGCTGGGAAGCCAGGTGCGATTCCGGGCTTCTGGCTTCAGCCTGGCCCACACCAAACTCTAGCTGCTGCCACTTGGGGAGTCAACTTGCACAGGGAGCACCTCTCTATGCAGCTCTCACTTTCAAATAAATAAATATTAAAAAGAAAAAAAAATCTGTAAGATGCAATTTCCAATCAGAAGAGAAAGAAAAATGACAACCTGTCTTAACCTACCACTAACAAGCTTTACGGTTCCCTAATACAAGGATAAATTCAGATTATGGGCTTGGAAGAAGCCAAAATAACGCTTTGGCCCTAAGCGCCAGGCAAGCCACACACATACACACACTCACACGTTTACTATACACATAAACACTCACACTGGGGCTCACCAGGCACGCCCACACACTCTCTCTCTCTCCCCGGGGTCCACCTCGCTCGTTCCGTGTCCTACGTCTCTGGGAAGCGGGGGGCTAGAGCGGGCGGCAGGGGAGAGACACGCCAACACCAGCAGCGTTCGCCCCACTAGCGCCTACACCCCGAGGCAGGCCTCGGCGGCACCCAGGCCCCCCCACACCGCGAGCAAGGCCACCCGGGCGGCCGCCCGCCTCTGGCTCGTCCCCGGGCCCGCGGGGAGGCCTGCTGCGACACAGGCTTCCAGGGCGCTCGGCGCCACCAGGCCTCTGCCCGCCCTACGCTCCGCCGGGCGCGAACACCACTTACAGAAGAACTCGGCCACGATCTCCGCGCTCCCGCGCAGGGTGATGCCCTGCTCCCGGGCCGCCTGTCGCGCCATGGCCCCACGGGTGCAGCCGCGCGCTCCGGCTCCGCCGACCAAGACGCCAGCCACCCCCCACAGCCCTTCCCGCCACCCTTTTCAAATGTAACGACGCAGCGCGCCGTCTCGCCCTTGCGTAACGCCGCGGGCCCTAAGCCCCGCCCCAAGCCGCGAGGCCCCGCCCCACGACACGAGGCCCCGCCCCACGCTGCGAGGCCCCGCCCCTCCGGGCGCCTCTCCGCCCCCGCCGGCGCGGCGGCTTTGCGCAGGCGCTGCTGGTGACCGCGGTGGCGGGACTCCAGTCTGTAACCGGTTGTGGGGTGTTGTCAGGTGTAGTGGGTTCACTGGGTACTGCTTTGGTCGCGGAAAGAAGGTGGCAGGTCTCAGGTTTCATGGTGAGTTTCCCAGGCCTGTGGTTTGAGAGATCCAGTTTATAGCCCCAATTCCTAAGTTTCAAAAATAACAGTCAGACTGTGGTGAGCCGCCCGGCAGCTGCACCTGAAGTCACCGCAGTGGCTGCTTGAGGGGATTCTAAAAGGAAATGTGTATGGGCCGCCAAGAAAGTTAAAGAGGGTCTGGTTTGTATGTGTGAACGCGGCTTTTCCAGAGAAACCGAGTTATAATCAGACAAGCTGCATCTGCATTTCCTCCCCTTGTCCACATCTGCCCACCTCCCTGTCCCGAGCAAGGAGTCTGGGACCTGGTCCAGGCTGCGTTCCTTCTGTGCATCTGTCCGTTTTTGACCAGGAATAAGGTGACCTCACAAGAAGAGGCCCAATGCCACTGAGGACTTACTCAGCAAGTATCTACTGGCAAATTCCAAGACTTTTTTTTTTGTTTTATCTTACACAGTTTATTGGAGTAAAAATTATTTCTCACTATTTCTAGAAGATTTGAATTGACTTCTTTTTAAATGTCATTTTAATGTAAGGGATTTTATCTTTTTTTTTTTAATTTCATTTTATAACACAGTTTCATAGGCTCTGGGATTCCCCCAAACCCTCCCTTCATATTGAATTCCTCCATATTATTACAGTAATACAGTTTATAACCAGTCGTGATTCCTTCATTGTGGGCATGGACCTTTTTATATTAGGATGAGAAGTTATTAAGGAGATAGCGCATGAGTAATTTGATGTGAATTGTGAAAGGATTCTTAATGCATCTGGGAAGATAATTAGTAAAATGGGGGTCTGAAAAATGTTCAGATCTGCCAGGCCTATGTACGTGGTTATTTAGTCACATGAGAAAGATTCCAGTGTATTAGTTTTCTGTCGCTTGGTAATGGGGTACCAAATAAGTGGCTGAGAAACAACAGCCATTTGTTAACTCAGCTCTAGGTACTGAGCATGGCCTAGGTGGATGTCACACAAGGATGAAATTGAAAGTCTACAGGTCAGATCTCGTGTGATCCTGGAAGTGTTACCCTCCCCCCCCCCAATATGTTTAGGTTCTGCTGTAACTCAAGGGAGAGATTGTATTAGATGAGCCCTTTAGCGTTGTAGGAATTGGACATCTATCATAGCATAATACTACCATAATACTATTTATCAGATTTTTGATCCGTCTGAAGTTTAAAGCATGAACACAGTAGGTAATATTCGGGTGATAGACTGACATAAATTAATAAATAAAATCTTTCCTTTATAGCCTTGATTGTGAGCTGTGTGTGCTGATGTAGAGATGCCATATTTGATGCTAGGAACAATGGTATATGACACAGTGACCCTGAGGAAAGAGAATCTTGGATGCTCTTCATCTCTTCCTGCTTTGCCAGTGTAAAAATTGCTTCCCTTTGTAAGGAACTTCATTCTTAACACTCACATTTGAGGAAAACATTTCTTGGGTTTGGTGGTAATACAGTTTGTAAGTTATCAAAAGATGCAAATAGTTCTTAGGATTACTTGGAGATTCTAGATTTTTTTAAAAAAAATTTTAGATGATGTTTACATAGTTGATCAGGTGGGAAGGACCTAGGGTTAGGGAGAAATGGGTCTGATCATTGTTTCCAAACTTTCTATTTCTTCCCATTTCTGGGAGGAGGAAGGTGAAAAGGGATAGGCTATACCCAGCCTCCCAAGCATCCCAGGACCTGAGGATGAGGAAAAGCCCCCCAATATCAACCCTGTGTTACCATGTGGCACTTGCTCTAAGGGTTCTGAATTTTAAAAGGCTAGCAAAATGTGTGATTTTTCTGTGTATAAAGAATTTGTCAAATATCTGTATTCCTCTATGGGAAGATATAAGAAATAATGCTTAGAAGGAATGATCAATGCCTTTGAAGGAATTTCTGATTGTTTTTATTTAAATACTTACCCTTAAAAAGAGGAAAGGATCACAGACTGACACAGTGGTGTAGCGGGTTAGGGTTATGACAACAGCAACCCGAGCGAGTGCCAGTTTGAATCCTAAATGCTCCACTTTCGATCCTGCTGCCTGCTTATGGACTGGAATTAATTTTAGAAGACAACACAGGGCCCGGCGCGGTGGCGCAAGTGGTTAAGGTCCTCGCCTTGCACGCCCGGGATCCCATATGGGCGCCGGTTCTAATCCCGGCAGCCCTACTTCCCTTCCAGCTCCCTGCCTGTGGCCCAGGAAAGCAGTCGAGGATGGCCCAGGGCTTTGGGAACCTGCACCCGCGTGGGAGACCCAGAAGAGGCTCCTGGCTTCGGATGGGCATAGTATCGGCCTTTGCGCTCACTTGGGGAGTGAATCATCGGACGGAAGATCTTCCTCTCTGTCTCTCCTCTCTGTATATCCGCCTTTCCAATGAAAAAATAATAAAAATAAATCTTTAAAAAAAAAAAAGAAGACAACACAGTACTTGCACCCCTCGCACGCATGTGGGAGACCTAAAAGAAGTTCCTGGCTCCTAGCTTCAGCCTTGCCCAGTCCTGGCTGTTGTGGCCACTTGGGAGTGAGCAGCAGATAGATGCCCCATCTCTCTCTCTCTCTCTATCCCTGGATGTAAATATTTTAAAAGAAAAAAAAAAAAAAGGAGATGCTGACACAGCATGAAAGTAATGAAAGGTGCTGTCCTTCAGGAGGAGAAGGGACCCAGGGCCTACTGGCTCAAAAGGCTAATCCTCAGCCTGCTAACAATGGCATCTAGGATGGGTGCCGGTTGTTGTCCCAGCTGCTCCACTTTCCATCCAGCTCCCTGCTTATGGCTTGGAGGGCAAAAGAGTATGGCTCAAGTCCTTGGGCCCCTTGAAGTCACATTGGAAACATGGAGGAAGCTCCTTGCTCTGGGCTTCAGATCAGCTCAGCTCTGGTCATGTGGCCATTTGGGGAGTGAACCCATAGATGCAAGACATCTCTCGGGCCTTCTCTCTCTGTAAGTGTACCTTTCAGATAAAATAGACATTTTAAAAAGAAGCAGCAGCAGCAGCATGTATGTGGCCCTGTCTGATTCTGCCCTGTTTGGGCCTTCCCTTTCAAAATACTTCCCTGCTCGGTTTTGTTTATCCTCACTACATGTTTTCTTGTATCTCAGAACTTTCCATCGTTTTACCCACTCGGATTCCTAATTGTTTTCATACCATTTCTTAACGTAAAAATTATGTTCTCAATGAGATTTCTTTGACTCTTTCATATAATTTGAGAATATGAATCTTAAGTATTCTCATGCATCTTATAACATGGCTCCAGAGCATGACCTTGACAATAATCATGTAGAAGTTTTCAGTAAACCTTACCTGTTTCTTCTGGTAAAAATGAAATTTTGAAGTAGGCTAAATCTAAGAGTGTGTGTCATATGAATAGTATAGGTCTCTATTGAAGGAAACTTAAAAAGTGGTAAGAAATTTGCCATACAACTATCACCTCACAGGTTGCAAGACATAAAGGAGAAAGTATTTTGATCTTTTTTAGAATTTGCTGCTATATATTTAGATGTCTTTTTGAAAGATATATATATGTGTACACATACACACAAATATGTATGTGTATATATCTATGGAGAGAGAGGGAGAGAGAGAGAAAGAGAAATCTTCCATCTGTTAGTTCTCCAAACAGACACAAATGCCGGAGCTGGGCCATGCTGAGGCCAGGAGGCAGGAGCCACATAGGTGGCACGGGCACAAGCACTATGGCCTCCTTCACTGCTTTTCACAGGCAGGCCATCAACGGGAAGGTGGATAAGAAATTGAACATTCAGGGTGTGAACTGGAGCCCATCCGGAACGGCAGCAGCTTTTCCCACTGCACCACGATGGCGGCCTCGAAGATGGTTCAGGCAGACATTTGTTTAAGCTGTTTTTTTTTTTTTTCTATTGCCCGGTGGCTTAATCTCACTAAATCATGCTATCAAGGTGATGAAGCTGAAGTATTGTGTCTGTGATTCCAACCTGTGTTTCACGTTGACATACATTTCGGTTTTGTGGTCATGGGCTATTTTTCCCGGTGACCTCTATTTGTTTCTTTTCTTTTCTTTCTTTTTCTTTTTTTTGAGAGTCATAAGTTCCTGGCACTTACTGATTTCTGTACAAATACTCATCGACTGAATGGTAACTTGAATATTTACTTACTAAGATTTCGTGGAAAAAATCCTAAAATGTTTTCTAGTTGGAAAACAGATTGGATGGGCAAGTGAGGCCACCCTTTGGGAGTTTTAAGTATCCGACAGAGCTGTTTGAAGAAGAGGCACTGCTGAGGGACTGCTGAAGTGAGGTATCATTGGCTATCTGTATCAGAGACAAGAATCTGACAAAAGACAGAATTCCAGGTTGAGACGTAGATAAAGGTCAGTGGTGGAGTACGACTGAGTTGCATGCAAACTGAGAGCACACACCTGGAGAGGGAGTATGGGCAGACTCGAGAGTGAGCAGCAATCAGGATTCCAGACCTTTCCTTCGTGCAGTCTGGTGACACTGAGGCCATTGTCTGAGGTTGGGCTGAATTTGGGCCAGGGTTTGAGTACTACACATTTCCTTGTCTTTTCGTTTTGTTTTTAAATCTTACAGGTATCATGACATTGGATGCATGATGGCAGTAAGAGTGTCAGCCACAGCTGTTTTATTATGATGAGCCTATAATTAGCTAACGATCAGTGCAGGTATGCAGTTGGCAGCCAGGATGGAAAGT